CTAGGGGGCAGACACTCGGACCATTAGGTTAGCTTGCTGCTGGGGTCTGGCCATTTGGGACTGAGTGAGACAAGCCAGACACCCCCTGGTGCCTTCCCACGGTCCCTCCCAGGCTGGCCAACCTCCTGCGTCCCTCCCCAGTCCCAATTGTGCACCAGTCAGGTTTCTAAGCCTGGCCTGAGCCCTCTGGCAATCTCCCCTCCCCCCAAGTACATAAATTTCATGCACAACAAAAATATGTCTTTATTGGTTTTAGAGAGCGAGGAAGGGAGAGAGAGAGGGAAACATTGATGTGAGAAAGAAACATTTATTGGTTGCCTCCTGTACACACCCCAACTGGGGACTGAATCCGCAACCTAGATATGTGCCCTGACCCTGTCTGAGAATTGAACCCGTAACCTTTTGGTGAATAGGACAATCCTCTAACCAACTGAGCCACCCAACCAGGGCAGGTGGTTGATTTTTGTTGGTTTTAAATAGGATCATTGACTGTTTTATTAATTTTTAAAATATTTTTAATTGATTTTTAGAGGGAGAGGAAGGGAGAGGGATAGAGAGATAGAAACATCGATGAGATAAACATCAATATCAATCGACTGCTTCTTGCATGTCCCCTACTGGGGATTGAGCCCACAACCTGGGCATGTGCCCTGACCGGAATTGACTGATGACCTCTTAGTTCCTGGGTTGGCACTCAGCCACTGAGCCACACTGGCTGGGTGATCATTGCCTGTTTTAAAGCTTAAATGTACTTTAGAATTCTGTGCAAAATAGGAACCCTGGCATTTAATTAAAATTATGATGTGTAGTTAAGATTCTTAAATGTGAGTAAAAGTTTTTCTAAATGAGAAAAAATAGCTGAAGATTACTATTTTTGCAGTAAGACTCATGTGATGTTTTAATGTCAACATGGTCCATTCTGTCAGTAACATGTATAGGAACGATATGCTCTAAGCATTTTTTCCCCCTAGACTTGGGAAGACCCTGGACACAATGACAAACACACTGGTTGTTGTGGCGACAATGACCCAATTGATGTCTGTGAAATTGGAAGCAAGGTAATGTAATCTGAAATGTTTTTCTTTAGTGCTAAGATGATATTAATGAAATATATAAAGTTCATACTTTAAAAAATATTATGAATAATGATGTCACTTGAGGTGATTAAAAGCTCCCATTTCTTTTAAAGCATTTGTATATTTAAACCTAGCCTAGAAAAAGATGTACATATACGTGTATATGGCTATACATACAGGGTATCCCCCAAAATTATATACACTTTGAATGATTATAAAGTCAGTGTTTATTATTACTAGAAATAAGTGAAAATTAAGTGAGTTATCAGCTGTTGAAGTGTGTATACATTTTTTAAAATATGTTTTTTATTGATTTCAGAGAGGAAGGAAGGAGAGATAGAAACATCAATGATGAGAAAAAATCATTGATCAACTGCCTCCTCCAGGCCCCCTACTGGGGATCAAGCCTGCAACCCAGGCATATGCCCTTGACCAGAATTGAACCCGGGACGCTTCAGTCTGCAGGCCAATGCTCTATCCACCGAGCCAAACCGGCTAGGCCCCTGACACATCTTGAGTTGCTGCCCCAGTGCTAGATAGAGCTCAGAGCATGAGTCTAAGTTAGTCCATGAGTGGGCCCTTTAATAGGAACTCTCAGGACTCCAGCAGCCCTTTGGGA